TCTATCTAGGATTTACTCAAGAAGAATAGCCTGTCTATGTAACCAACAAGACTTCTGACCTTTGTCTTAGACCAAAACCCAATAATTAGCTTTCCTTCTGTGCTAGTTTACATCGAGCTTTGTGCATGAAGGTTTGTAAAGCAGAGAATATGGATGACCTGTTTAGTCTTAAGGGGTTTCTGCACAGGCTCTTAAGCTGGGGTGTGCTACTACAGTCCTTAAGGGACGGTTTTCTACAATTGTTAGACCTGTACTTGCTTGCACACACATATAAAATGTCATAATTACCTCCTTAGTATGCAGTTCTTTTCTCTACACTGGAAAACATCAAAATCTACATAAGTCATTTTTTCTTACAATAAGTGCATTTTTTTCTTGAATTTAGGGGGTAAGTGAGACACTCTGCCAATGGAATAAGACAATTCAGATTTAAAATAAGAAAAAACAAATTAATTGTCTTATTTCAAGTGCATTTTATCGAATTATCTTATTTTAAGAGTAAATATCCTCATCCCATTGGCAATAAATCTTATTTACCTACTCAAATTAGATACATTTAATTTAAGACATTTTGACTTATTTCTAGATGGTTTTTGCAGTGTTTTTGCTTTTAATTATCAAATTACTTGATTCATGTGGGTTGGACCAAGGACACTTCTAAAGGTTGCAAAGTACTGGCCGTCCAGGACTGGAATTGCTACATAAAAGAGACAGAAATTTTGGTCAAAAGTTCAGGAATTAGATCCCACCTCACTAAGACATCCTTAATGCTACAGTTTGGTTCTGTCTCCCATCAGGGAGGCTCTGTGGTGAAACTGTCTTCTGGTAACAACATGCATGGCCGTGGTCGTAGGCAGCTCCCGCAGACGCCGCTCACACCTCGCCCAGCTGTGGCCTACAAGACCTCCACCTCCTCGGCTCCTCCATCCAGCGCCAGCACCTCCACGGCTGGGCCTCAGGCTCGCTTCTGCCGTGGCATACCAGAGCACGACCGCCTGCTGGCGGGTCACGAAGAGTCTAAAACCCCAGTCACCTCCGTCAGTTCGGACTCTAACTCCAACAGGCAGCAGTTGGACTCCCCTCAGCAGGCCCTCCTTGAGGAGGGCGAGGACTTCCAGGACGCTGTGAGCAGCCACGGAGGGGGACACTCTTCCAGAAGCTCCGCTCCCACCTCGTCCTCGCAGGGTAGCGCTGCTACGCCCGTCACCGCAGCCGCCATGCAGGGGCGGGCAGCGGGAGTTCCGAACGGGTACCACTTCACTCTGGGGTCTGCGTCGGGGCCCGGTAGCAGAGGAACAGCGGGTCTCAGGGAGCAGGAGGAGGAAGACTGGTGCTAGCTGAGTGGAAAGCTTTGAAAGGATAACTAAAGGCTAAACAAGCGCCGCTGAGTGCTGACATCGGCCGGGCCGAGGCCGGTCCGGCGGTAAGAGTCAGTGGACTGCGCTGTTGAAGAAGTTCACAGGTCATTCCAGCTTTTTAGTGTCGATCTCTTTACTGGAGAAGAAACACCTTTTTCTATCCCGTTTTACTTGCACTGAGATTATAGCACACGTGAAGACCCTAAACCTTCTGCCTTGGCTGGTAAATTCAGAAGATATAAGCCAAAATGTTCTGAGTCAAGCTGTAAACTGTGTTTAAGACCAATCAGAATGCCTCATTCCTGATGCTAAATCATAGCTGCTCAGTTTGTTTGTCACATCTCTACAATAGGTAAAATATTTAATCCACTGGACAGCATCTCTTTGTTGGTTTAGCTGCTGCTGTGGTATAGTTTAGAGAAGAAATGTTTTCATTCAGGTATTAAAATGGTTATATAGCATCTAATATTTCTATAGATATGATTAGAAAAAGACTAAAACCAATGAGGCGGAAATGTGGAATCTCTACTCGTAGATTATCTGTTTTTTTTTGTTTTTTTTTATGCTTAAAACAGAAAATATCTTTCTTAAACATACCTCAATTTAATCATATGGTTGTAATCAATATCATCTTTTTTTCAGGCCATGAAGAGAGAGGGTATAGAAATACTCTGTTTTTAGAAAGAAATAAAAACATCTGAATTGCCCTTTAATTTATTTCTGTCCAAAAAGATGCCTTGACAGGTCCTATTCTTCAAAAAGTTCTACAGCTACGAGAACAAATGCAGATCTTAACAAGCTTATTTCCAGGGAATTGTGGCCGCCAGCTGGGGAGCATTCAACTAAAAATACAAAAGATTTATTAAATGAATAGTACACCCAAAACATGATTAGCCTTCATTTTCTACTCACCCCCATGCTGAGGGGGTGAGTAATTTACTCGAAACAAAGTCATTTAGACTGTTTTTAGAGCATAAACAGTAGTGTATAGGATTTCCTAAAAGCGCGTTC